AAGTAATGGATCAAAGCTGGAAGATGGGAGATTTAGGTTAGACATGAGGAAGAAATTCTTTATTGTGAGGGTTCTGAGACACTGGAACAGGTTGCCCAAGGAAGTTGTGGAAGGCACATTCCTGGAAGTGTTCAAGACCAGGTTGGATGGGGCTCTGAGCAATCTGGTCTAGTGGGAGGTGTCCCTGCCCATGCAGGGGGGTTAGAATTAGATTATCTTTAAGGTCCCTTCCCACCCAAACTGACCTATGATTCTATGATATGATTCAAGATTTTCTCAGCAGTGTGTGACATCTGTTACAGCCCTTATGAACTGCCGAGTAGTGCAGATGCATTGAAGTAAACTTCTCTCCGCAGCACTCTCCCAGGTCCTGGGCAGAGCTGTTTACCCTATTTTATACCATCTAAGAAGCTCATACTGCAGCCAGGATTGTTTGCAATTCTTTTCATTCAGTCCCTGTTGTCTCTGACACAATTCACGCACTAGGGCTACTGGGAAAAAATACAGAAATTATCTGGGGACTGTATCAGCTTGGAGAGCTACAAAAAACATCAGCTCCTTCTGCAGAGCAGAGGAAAGAGACCAGAAAAAGTGTGACTAACTGTTTCTGAATATACAGGAGACATGAACAATCAAAGGCGTTGTGTTACTGTGGCTGGGGAGTTCATAGATCTGTGATTCACAGCATTATAGGGCCCATTTGGCATGCAAAAGGAGAGGATGATGAAAGGAATAGTTAGTCATGGAGGCAAAGCTAGACAGAACACACAAAGATGCTACCCCTGGGAAAGAGAACATATTCAGGTGTGACCCACAGCCTGTGAAAAGGAATAAGGTCTTTTTTATTTTCCAAAAATTCCTTCTTACTTTGGTATGTTGAGCACTTGAAGGAGTGCCCTCCATCCTAGCCTTGTCAGAGCACCATGAATTCCAGTGCACTGTTCAAGCCTATCTCAACCCAAGAAGGATGGCACAATATTCTTCAAACTTTTCCTATAACCTCTCAGTCATATTCTCTCATGACCATATTTTTTTTACTCTCTCACTTTAGAAAGCATTGTTTAAGGCAGGCAAAAGAGGAAAAAAAGAACATCCCAACTATGAATCACAGAATCCTAGGGGTTGGAAGGGACCTCGAAAGAACATGTAGTCCAACCCCCCCTGCCAGAGCAGGGTCACCCAGAGCACATCACACAGGAACGTGGCCAGGTGGGTTTTGAATGTCTCCAGTGAAGGAGACTCCACAGCCTCTCTGGGCAGCCTGTTCCAGTGCTCTCCTGTCAGAGTGCACAGTTTACTATCCTCAGCATGTAACTGCTGAAACCACCAGTGCAGAAATGCTTGCAGATAGCGTTTCTGTTAAACTTTCACCTCCTTGAAAACAGCTGTATTCGAAGTAGGGATGAAGGAGAATGATTTGCCTTAGGGATCCCCCTTGTCGACTCATGTGATTGCTGTTGAAAATGGTCTGGATCTAAAAGACCACAAAGATGTTTGATGTTCTTCATATATCCTTCAGCAAAAGAACTGGGAGAAGAGTCATTGCCCTTGTGCATTTGCATTTTCAATAACACACATGAAACAAGCTATGCCCTGCCAGTTTGGAACAAGCTCTGTCCTGCCTTGATGTACCCATGCTGTGTCTCTTTTACTGGTGTGTGTGAAGAGGATGGGCAGGAAAGGGGAGAAATGGCATTCGTAGGGGAGAAATAGGACTGGGGCTGGAGGGAGAAGATAAGAGGAATATAAATGGAGAGAAGAAAATTAACTGCTAGGTGGAAATAAGACACACTCCCCCAAAAAAGCAACAAAGAAAGGAGAGGAAAAACTTGTGATATAGGTAGGGAAAAAGCAATGGAGACAAAAACCTCCAAAGACACAGTTGAAGATGAAACTATGAACATAGTAATCAAGTAGGCAGGCAAGAAGAGAGGGATAACAATGGCAGAAAAAAAATGTAAAGTGCAAGGAAATGAAGAATAGAAAAAAAAAATTAATTCTTTCAACAAGAAGGAGCTGAAAAGAGAAGCATGGGATTATATTGGTAAAATGGCAGAAGAACAAACTAAAGAGGAAACATGAGAGACAGCAGCACAAGCTGCATTTAATAATGTTCATGGGATAGACCTCCAAACAATTACTTGTTATGCTGTTCCCTGTGGTCACTTGATATGGATGATGGCTGGCTATTGATCTGGCTTCAGATCAGAACTCTGAGCAGCAAGTACAAGCAATGGGGATTGATGGCCACAACTGTGACTGCCAGCCCAGAACCTCCTGACTGGGAGAAAAATCCCATAGAAAAATCTGTGGTAAAGCAGAGAACTGAACTCTGCTTTACTGTCTCCTGTATGTCAAAGCAGTCATCTTCTTCTCCTTCTCTGGCATTTTTAATGGATGAAACCCTCCTATGCCACCATCACTCACCTACAGTTTGGATACCAGCCCAACCAAAATCTAGGAATAACAGGACAAGAGCATGGTAAACAATTCAGTTTGCTGCCACCTGTTATTCTCCCAGCACAGAGTACATACTTCTTTCTGCACTGTGAATCCATGACTCCAAACTGTTTTGTTGCCTCTCTGCAAGGTTAGGACTACCAGCCAGTCCAGAAACATACACCCAAGTCACGAAATGAATTACAGCCAACCAGTGCAACTCAAAATAAGGAAAAAGCCAGTATAAAGGTTTTAGAAAGATTTGCCATTCACACAAGCAGCAAAAATGAGGGAGGGCATCACCGGAAAACTGTGGCAATTTGTGGAACACTGTCATATCACAGTGTTCACCATGAGTGTCTTTACCACATCCATTAAAGCTCTTAAGAGCTGCTCTGAATCACAAGGTGTCCCCAGGGTCCCATGGTGTGGGCACTGCCTGTGTATGGTACCCTGCCTCAGTCCTCCAGGGTTGCTAAACCACCCACTCATGCTATAGGCACACAAACACACAAGTGATCTCATTGTTTTTATCATCACCATTTATGCAATAACTAACTATTCACCTGAGTGGGGTCTTATCAGCACTTAGGCTAAAAAAAACCCAGGAGTGTCTTTTTTTGCCTGAATCAAGGAAAGGTTTGGAGCTGAATCCACAGCCCCCCCTGTGGGTCCCACCACGTGCCTGAGTGCTTGGAAAGCTGGCACTGCTGCCATCTCCGAGTATTCAGCTAGACTTTGTCATCCTTTATGGTTCTTCTTGCAGCAATAAAGTTGAATTGTAAAAAGCAGGGTTTGGTGTAAAAGCTGCAGGTAAATCTCATGGGTATATTATTATTTTTTACATCAGATTGGTCATGTTTATTATGCTCAACCATAAAATTCCTACCTGAAACATTTCTGGTGCCTTTAAAATATGAGTTAATAATGACGAATCACAGGTAAGGATAATCCTAAATTAAAGAGGTGCAGTACAAGGCTTTGCTATAATCAGTGAAACTACTGTTATCTACAGACACAAAATAGCCACATTTAATTTTGCATTCTGCACTTTAGCGCAAAGAAATTACTAATTACACTCTCCTTAGTACCCTTGCATGGTGCCATCCGGCACATGCCCATCAGAAACAATAAATATATACATCAAGAGAAGAGTAAGGGTAATTTCCTGTGGCTGTCTTACAGGCCAGAGATTAAACTGCAACTACCCTGCAGAGTTCAAACAATGTGCTTGTAATAAAACTGATGGTGATGTATGTAATCAGAAATCAAAGACAAAGTTTGACATGCTTAATGCAGCATTCATATGTAAAATGTCTGCAGTGGAAAAAGTCCAGCCCTCTAATTTTAGTCTTTGTTTTAAAATGAAACCTTGGGCCAGGTGCCTCTGAACACATGCTGAAGTCCCTGTCAAAGGACAGAGACAACATTTCTCCAAGAAAATGATGCAAAACTCAGACTGGCTCTGTGCAGGCAGAAACCCTCTGGAGCCCATCAGAAGACAGGCTTTGCCTGAGCCTGTTGGTGAGCATTTAATTGCCACACATGGCTGCATGGGGAAATTTTGAAATGCATCTCAGTTTTCCTGCTCATCCCCCAATTAATTAAGCCACCCTACACATTTTCTGTATGATGCCAGAGACATTTACTGCATCATTTGATGTCTTCCTAATGTTAGAAATATCCCATAGACATTCACCCACAGTTTTCCTAAATGAGAACAGTTGGACAGAATATGGCCGTGAGTTTTAACTCATCTTCCTGGGTTAAAAACCCAGGACTGCCACACACTTGAACCTTGGTAAAGTCTTGGAATCACATGTTTGATGTGTGAGAGGGCAAACACCATGGAGATGGGAAGGATGACACAGCCCGAGACAGGTGTCAGGTCTGGAAGCTGAAGAAGGTCTGTGAAGGTGGCAGAGGTGAGGGACTGGGTTATCAGGAGCAGTGCAGGACAAGGCAGTGGCCAGAGGCAGAGGGAAAGGAAGATGATGTGCCAGGAACCACAGAGCTGCCAGGGAGGAAGGAGCAGCAGGCAGTGCATGGGCCGGGCCTCACAGCTTTGCAACCCCCAAGCCAAGTCAGCAGCCCCATACTTGGTGGCCAGGGAGCTGGCAGTCACTGGCATCTGTCTGCACCTGTCTGAGGGCAGGATCACGGCCTCCCCACATGCATTCATTGAGTACAGAGTCTATTAACATTTGCCCAAGCCATTTTAAAACATCCAGTTTTTGAGAGTCTCTCTGATTAGGCAGTGAGGAATCCAGGCTCTGCACCACAACCATCACCACAGTGTAAGCAGCAGAAAGGCAGCAAGGCTTTCAAGGGTCAGAATAAAAGACTCAGCTTACAAACATCAATTATTTGCATCTTTGACTGAAGGCTGTAAGCTTTGTTCAAGCTTGAAACATATTAAGCAATTGCTTGAAAATCACCATTCATTCAAAAAAGAAAAAGGCAACAACCCTCCCCACCCCAAGTATTCATTAACAATTCTCTTGGAGTTTAACCTGCACGCCCTTATTGCACATCAGTGAATGCCAAAAATGGATTGGTACCTGCTTTGTAAGTCGTTCAGGTGCAGTTTGCCTACATAATGGGTGGCTGATGAGACAGTGACGATCCTAGCGTTGTGACTGTGCGTTCCTGATTGCTTCAGCGTTTCCAAGAGGAGGTTAGTCAACAGGAAGTGTCCCAAGTAGTTCAAGCCGAAGTGCTCCTCAAACCCATCCTCTGTCTTCCTTTCAGGGACCATCATCACCCCAGCTGGAGAAGAAAGTAGAGGTAAAACCTGTTGGTTCATTGCAGAGAAGGAGCAAGCTAGACTGAGCACGGATTTCTTGCTGCAGAGTGATAACACAGCATTTAGAGCAATGACTGACTGGTGATGGCATGTGAAGTGTAAAGCTAACACTGATTGACTCCTGTCAAGAAATATGTCAACCCCTCCACTTCAGTTCCTTTATATATAAAACTGGAAGATGGACTCTT